TTTTTTTTTTTTTTTTTTTTTTTTTTTTTTTTTTTTTTTTTGATCCAATAAACGCGGTCGGATGAGATGGAAGAAACACTGCGAAATATACAAACTGGTGCTGGTGGAAGGAAATAACAGAGATCGTGGTTTCGGCGTTTACCCGGACCGTGGTTCATGGGTCCAGCTGAAAAAATACAAGTTTGAAAGAGAAAAAAGCAAAATGAACGGAGAGCTCGATATGGCAAGAGCACGTGATCCCCTAAAAAGAAATATCTGTGAACAATTGTTTTTTTTTTAAATTGAATAAAAATACGTGATAATAACGTATATATATATATATACATATATAGATGTATAAGGTGGATAGATAGAAGATGGGAGTCTCCACTCTGCTCGGCAAGTATCTGCGAACTTAATATGACAATGGACGCTCCTGTACGTGGCTCAACGTCTATGGGAGAAGCAGGCGTGTCCTGGTAATTGAAAATAAAGTGAAAATAAAAAAAAAAGATGGATCAAGATGGTAAAGTGGTAAGAAATAATATATATATATATTTATACATATATATATATACATATACACATACATATATACATACATATATATATATATATATAGAATTGAAATATACAAGGAGCGAAAAAGAATATAACCGGAGGATCGCCCCATTCGATCGCCCATCTGGATATGGCTGACATCAGCAACACCTGCAATAATTGGTCGAGCTATCTGTCGAAATTTATTAGTTTCGCCGTGATATCCTTTCGTTCCATCCTGCACTCTCGTGTGTCTCCTCCTTCATCCGCCCTCTCCCCTTTCTCCCTTTGTCGATTTTCTTCGACGTCGAGAGAATCGAAGAATCGATAGAAGAAACGAGAGATATTATTACCATTCTCGATATCATACGCGCGACTTGAACAAGAGAGAAGACGGATGAAAGAGAGAGGGACGAATCCTTTCTCGAAACGACTCACTGGTTCACAAACGATCATTCTGGTCCCTGGAAAGAAATTCACGAAAAATACACATTCTTATAATTTGTCTCATTCACGCTTCGCAACGATGCTGGTTGCCATTGCTCGGCGGTCTTCCTCACGATCTCCAAGTTCCTCGCCACTTCCTGGACACGGACGACGTCGGTTTCATCGAGATTGTATCGAGCGTGTGTGTAGGCGAATGTACGTGTGTAAGGTGCGTGTCACATGTGCGTGCTGAACGTTGTGTAACATTTTGTACGCGGAAATCGAAATATTGTTGGACATGAAGTGATTCTTGCTATCGTCCACCGTGCTTTTTTTTTTTTTTTTTTTTTTTGTTTTGCATCACATCGAAGCGATGGATACTCTTTTTTCTGTGGGTGGTATATATATCTCGCGCGCGCGCGCACACACATACACACACATATATATATATATATAGAAAGAGGACATATTTCGTGTCGCATTGTTTGACAAACATTCAGACATCACGGCGTTCAGCAATTCCGAAGAGTGCATTTTCGAACAGTCGCATTGAATTCGATTAGACGATGGATGGATGGGGAGGGGGACGCGATCCTCGATTAACGTGGTCGATGATACGACGAGAGGTCGAGGTTAATCGATCTAATGGAATATCGTGGAAACGATGCGAGGAGGGAGAGGGGGAGAGGAGAATGAATGAATGAATGGGATGCTCGAAACGGATGGATAGATCAAAGGGCGGAGTGATTAAATCGGTTTATTTGACAAATTCGCCTCGCCGACCGCGATTGCCTTTTTATTTTATTTTATTTTATTTTATTTTATATATATATATATATACGAATTAAACTGTTCACGAGGCAATGATTTCTCCGATCAAACGTTTACGATTGATTTTAGTTGAATGGTGTACCGTATTATTCTATTGGGTTGACCAAAAATACTCTTTGACTTTTGTTTTTTTTTTTTAGAGAAATTCATTATCTAATTGCATTTGATAGATGGAATCTTAATATATAAAAAAAAAAAAAAAAATGGAATTTATTTTTTTTGTAAATGACGAAAATCTACTTTTTAACCAACCCAATATCTAAAAAAAAAAAAAAAAAAAAAAAGAATAAGACAACAAATGACATGAAATATTTTTACAAGATCATAAAGATCGTACAGAGATAGAGAATTATTTAAGACGAAAATTTCGCGATCTTGGTGAAATCGCGCGCGGCCAAAATGGCGGATACGCGGATACGTGGCACGAGCTCGAGGCAAATTTTCAGACGAAGGGTTACTCCATCGGTACGCGGTATGCACCCTTGGGAAATTGAAAACCACTTTTAGAGAATGAGACTTCCCTGCCAACAAGCTGGTCTGCCGCAATCATCCATGTGAGACTTTTTCTTCCATTGTGTCCGGGTGTGGCTGCAGATCTTCTGACGCGCGACGTTGCTGAAAATGTCTTTCTCGCATTCTCTCGTTTCTCTCTTTTTTTTTTCTTTTTTTTTTTATTGTTATTATTATTATTATTCTTTCTTTCGTCTTTTTCCTTCTATTTTCCTTTCCTCTTTTTTTTTCCTCTCTTTTGTTTTCGCCAGTTTTTCTGATTTTCCTCGCTCTTTTCTTTTTTCTTTCCTTTCTTTTTTCTTTTTTTTTTTTTTTTTTTCTATCTATCTATCCCCCGGACAATGGACAATTTTCGGTCCCCCGAAGAGACAGATTCGCGAATGGTCGAAGCGTAGAATCTATCTATTCTCCCCCGTCGTTCGAGGAAACGTATGAATTTTTCCATCGGCTGCCTCTTCAGCTTGTCTGCTTTCTCTTAAACGATACTCTTTCTCCCCTCGTTTTTTTTTAATTTTTTTTTTTTTTTTTTTTTTCCAATTCCTCATCGATCGTTCCTCGAGATCGAGAATCTTGTTAAAATTCGGCCAAAGGGATCAAACGAGCAAACATTTTTTTTTTCAAAATTTTTCACAAAGAAAAAAAAAAAACAGAATCACGAACGATCATGGTCGAGGAAAGATCGCGAGGTGTTATTTTTTTTCTTTTTTATTTTTTGTCTCTTTTTCAACAAAGCTCGAAATTTCCTTCGAATTCGCGAAGATCGTCGCGAGAACGCGTGCAAACGTGAACGAAGACAGGAGAGATCCAAGAAACACGCTCCCAACTTTCTCCCAACAACCCCATCATCGGATCCGAGCGTCTCTCGGACTATCGTTATTATGGATGCGTATCTTTAACATCTTTCCTTCACGTTTATTTATCTATTTTTTTTTTTATCTCGATTTTCATATTACTTTAGAGTTTTTTTTTTTTTTTCTCTCTCTAGGCTCGACAATTCTCGAGTGTAGCGTTTTTGTGTGGGGCAGCAAAACAGCAGCGAGGGTTGATAGCCGGGGTTCGTGCAGCACAGCTTGTCAGCAGAGTGGTGTACGTGTCATTCGTAAAAGACATATCACTTTAACTACTTAATTCTTATTTACAAGATCGTGATCACGCTCCATTTCGACGTGGCAATTTTTGTCGATCGTCTTAGAGAGCTATTGCATAATTATCAATTAATACATACATACATACATATATATATATATATTATCAGAATGTAATGTTTCAACATTAGAGAGAATTAAATATATATATATATATTAATTGTAAAGAAATAGATAAATCGTGTGACAGTTGACATATTGGAAATGGAGCGGTCACGTGTGGCTGCGGAAACATCTTGTACTTTTATTACGACCTAGCCACCGAAACAGGTGATTGGTGTATTGCAACTAGTTCTTTGCACCTGGATAGCTGCGATAGGCTGCTAGAAAGAGAGAAATAGAACAGTGGTGTTTTTTTGGTGATGTTAACAAGAATTCTGCCTCGTGTACTACTCACTACACGCTACGAGAACGGCTGAACATCATACAAGGAATAATGTAGTAAAACTGGACGAACACAAAAGCGACAAACAATGAAGGTTTTGGGGAAAAGAACGTGGGAGAACGGCGTATCGAACGATGGGATCGTTGTGAGTGAGAGGGGAACAAAGAATTAAAAAGAAAAAAAAAAAAAAAAAAGACGAGACAAAAAAAAGAGACGAGAAAAAAATCGTAAATGATCGAAAGAAAATTTAGGAGAGGGGAGAGTGAGATAGAGACTGTACCGTGAGAGAAATGAATTGGATAAAACGAGATAAATGAAAATATAGGAATAACTGGGTTACATAACGTGAGAGAAACTAATATAATATACATCTGGACGATAACCGTATCGAATTTGGCGCCTCGTTTCACTTTTCATTACTTCCTTACAATTATCCGTTGGGTAATAAATTCTGCGTTACCGATCGACACGTTTAATTAACGCGCGCTATCTCGTCGAATGGTGAAGGGGGACGCTAGTAACTTTCCTAGGGACATTTAGTCGATTCATGCTCGACGACACGCTACCCGCTACGGTTATCGCGTTAATTCGAGCACTGCGCAACTATTGGCCAATTTTACTTTGTGGTTAACCTGTCTCACGTGCGACAGTGCCATACATAGAGAAATATATATATATGTATATATATAAATATATATATATATACGTATCGCTATATAATAATACGTAATATATATATAAAAATATATAAATAAATGAATAAATAGATAGATAGATATAGAGAGAGAGAGAGAGAGAGCTCGATGTGTAAATAGCGTGTGTGTGTATATATATATATATATATATATATATACAGTAAGAGAGGGACTACTGCGTTGAAGGGGGAAGCCCGACGTATATACTCGACGTAGATTGGCGAAAAGCAGCGCAGCAACGAAAGCTCCTTTTGACGCAAACCCAGGAAACTGAAAGAGGGTGACAGAGACTACACGTGAAAGATCGAAGACAGAGAATAGATAGAGATAGAAAAAGAAAGAGAGAGAGAGAGAGAGAGAGAGAGAAAGAGAAGATAGAAGAGAAATGACGTGAGGGATGAAAAAGAAAGAGAAGGGGAGAAAGGTTCGATGTGCGGTCAAGTAGGATATGCGTGCACTTCGAGAGTCTTTTGTTCTTCGAGAACGACGTAACTTCCGTCTTTTTCTCGAGGGTTCTCCTTTCAAAGCGCCTCGATACGCATTTACTCGGCTTCCCTTTCGATTCGTTAGACGAACACTGATGGAACGGAACGAATATTCTCTTTCCTCTTTCGCTTTTTTTTTTTTTTTTTTCTTTTTTAAATATTTTTAAATATTTAAATATATTTGCCAACGTTACGAGTTCGGCTCAGAGAAACTGAAAACTCGAAAGTATCCCTTTTTTATCTGCGCAAATTTCGATCGTCCGCATGCAAAATCGCTTCGATCCTCACCGGAGGTAGGCGTGCCAATTAAAGCCACGAATACACAACGTGTAACGGCCAGACTTTCACCACCAATATATCTTTCCGCGAAGCTCAGCCCAGATTCAAACAAGACAACAGCACCGGCTGATAAACCACTTTCCAGCGACGAGAGACAAAAAATAATAGGGATAGGGGAAAAAAAAAAAAAAAAAAAAAAGAAAAAGATAAAGAAAGATACGTGTACAAGACATCCGCACATGAAGCACACGCCACATGGAACTGAAAGAAAGAGAGAAACAGAGAGGCGAGAAGAGAGTTAGAGTGAAGAAAGATGAAAGTGAATGGAAATGGGGGAAAATGTCGCAGGATTTCTTCGATGCGTTTTAACGGGTTTTGGGAATTGGATCTCTTTTTCGCAATAGATTGAAAATTTTTTTTTTATGATTATTTTCAAAGCACTGCCATTTAAAAGTTGAAAGAATAAATCTGATTTAACGATATTTTACTTGTATATACTCAAGAGATTTGGAGAATTTATTTGAAAATAAAATTATCGAAAGAAGGAAAAAATTAAAAAAATATTCTTTTAAAGAAATATCGATAACAAAACAGTTTACTACTAATTACTTACAACTTCCAAGTGGCAGCGTACGTAGATTCTAAATTAATTTGTTTCACCGAAATAAAGTTTCGCAGAAATTTGCTAATGACCACGCAATATATATCTCGTAAGAGATAAGAAAGAAATTCGAGGGACGATTGTTCGCACAATTCTTTCACCGAGTATCAATTCCGAGGGAGTCCCTCGAGAGGAGGAAACTTTCTTTCAAGAAATCCTTTTTTCAGGGATGACGACTCGTTAACGATTCGAGACCGAGAATGGAGATCGCGGCCAGTTTCTCGCGATTCTCAGACAGAAAGAGAGAGAGAGAGAGAGAGAGAGAGATACGGTTCCTGAGAGACTTTTTTTCCTCGACCACGGTGGCCGATTCTTTATCCATCCTCCCCCCCCCTCCGTCTCCCATCTATCTCATTCCTTTAATGACGACAGCTACATCTTTTGTCGCGTGGTCATCGCGGCGGAGGATCCCTGGTCGCGGGGACAAAGATTCAAAGGGAGCTCTCGGCGAGACTTATCGGATATTAGGATGAAAAGGTTTCCTCTTCGCTTCGAGAAGAGAAATAGTGTATATATACTCCCGGTATACTCGTGTCGGGATGCCTCGGGAGTCGGGAAGAGGGAAAAAGGGGTCAAGGTATCCGACGAAAAAGGAAAGGAAAGAGAGAAAGAAAAAAAAAAAGAAAATAAAACAAAACGTAAGAAAAACGTAAGAGGATGATATACTCTGTTTAGAATAGGATGGATGATAAAAATCGAATGATTCGTTGGGATGCTGGTTATAGACAGACAGAAGTGAAAGAAAGTTTAGAATGACAGGAAAGAGAGATAGTTAGCGATGATAGAAAGATACAGTTTGATAAAGAAGAAGAAGAAGAAGAAGAAGAAGAAGAAGAAGAAGAAAGGCAAAAATAGAGAAATAGATAGATAGAGAGAAACAGAGAGAGAGATAGAGAGAGAGAGAAAGAGAGAGAGAGAGAATGCATTACCGCAATGCTAGCCCGAGATTGTGCGGCCTTAATGTGGGCTTGAAGGTGCAGAGGGGGGTGGAAATAGCGGCAGGGGTCCCGATTGCATCGGCCCTTGACAGCGTCCATGCAGACCGTCACAGAGCCGTCCTCGTTCGCCTGCACCGTCTCGAGGGGGTGCGCAAACCGGCACTCCGTCTCGCCGCGTTTGCACGCCCCGCGTTGAAACTCGCGACATACCTACAGCAAGAGCGAACACGCATGGCATGGCACTCTATCTATGTGGCCAAAGGGGGCTGAGGGGCTTGGGGTGGGGCGCAAAACCGGGGGCAGCTCCGGGAACAGTTGGATGAGGCGATAAAGACTCTGTCTATCTGTTTGCGTGTCGTGTGTGTGTCTATCTGTATTTCGTGTGTGCTGTGTATCTGTGGTGCGTAGGAGGAATATAATAATAATAGTAGTAGTAATAATAATAATAATAATAATAACGAGTGTAATAATGTGTGTATCGTTCTTATACATCACGGAGGAGAATGGATCGAGTTTGGATTTTTTTTTTTTTCCTTTTCTTTTCTTTTCTTTTCTAGGACGAGGGGATTTTTTTTATCTTGGGAAGGGCGAAGCAGAATGATAAACGTTCGGAATTGGAATTAGTTTTTTTTTCTTTGTCGAAAGAAATGTGTCTGATCTATGGACATTTACGAATGGCCGAATGGTTGAAATGGTAAACGAAATTAATGGCCATAGGTTATGAATGTATTCTCGTTATTGTTGAAAATATGCGTGTCGCGTGTGAAAGGAATGCGAATAAAGGAGGATGAACGGACGAATTTGAACGAATGCTCGTGGTGCAATTTTGCAACCAAGGAATGAATATTAATCGTGAACGCACGTGAATGCGATTTCGTATGAATGCGTTTGTTTCACAATTTTTTTTTTTCCCGAACAACGTTCGAATTTTTCTTTTATTAAAGTATATCGATATATTCACGATTAATTAATTAGTTGATCGCTCAAGCTTACTTTAATTATTTTATTTTATTTTATTTTTTTTTTTAAATGTAATTTCTGATTCAATTCTTTTATCACATATGTGATAAATGAAAGAAACTGACTTAATAAATCTTGAACATTCAACCGAGATTCCTGGTTAACTACTGTAAAATCGAATGACGATTTGTCAATTCGAATCCAATATGGAAAATGTGATAGACGTATCTCGAATAAATATAGAAGTAGAAAAAGGAGAATCGAGAGAGGATGTGTATATAAAATGATGAAGACAGATAGAGAGAGAGCGACAGCGAGAAAAAGAGAGAGAAAGGTAGAGGCGAAAGTGTGAGAAGAATGCAAAATGGAGAAAGTGAAGTAGTGAAAAGAGTGATCGGCAGAAGGAATCGAATAATGCGAAAGAGCGCCCCATTTATGGATTTGTACGGGTCTGTCCTGGAAGGCGAGAGAGAGAGAGAGAGAAAGACAGAAAGAGAGAGAGAAAAAAACAGCCCACCTGACTTTCTATCGGTTTCTCATCTATTATTTCTGGCCGTCAATATCGGTATCCCGATCCACTGATTCTAAACTAAGCTTCGAAACTACAACACCAACATACTTTCACGATTACGATTTCTCGATCCACTTTTTCTCCCCAATAAATAATATTTTTAAAAAAAAAATTTTTTCCTCACCGATCGACGATATCGAATCAAAAAAAAAAAAAAAAAAAAATACTCGACCGAAATCTCCAAAAGATTTTCAATTTTCAATTCAGAGAGCGGGCCATATCAACGCCCAGAAAAATGAAAAGGGGGGAATGGGGGAGAGAAAAAAAAAAAAAAGTACAGACACATCTAATCACTACACTCTACTACACTGGAACTAAAATACCGTGTTGAATTCTGTCAAATAGGCGTCGCTGGTGTACCCTCGCCCCGCCCAATAAGGTCAAAGGACAC